ACTGACTGACTGACTGACTGACTTGAATGAACCTATCATGCATGACTACGACTACTACTCATGAAAAGGGATGGACTAGCCTTCAGCCAACCCACTTTCCATCTGTCCAGGAAAGGGAGATTAGGCCATTCATGTAATTCAGGGTCCCATGCAGCCCTGAAATTCAGCAGCAAAATGTCAAATTTTGGTCCATGCTTTTGAGGATGGTTTTAAAGTTGGGAATGGGAGCAGTTGGCCTCTGGGATGGCCTGTTTCCTCACTGGGCATCCAGGATGCTAATGGGACACGAGAGAATCCAGAAAGGCTGCTTCCTGCCTTAGCCTCTATCTCCAGTTTGATTTCATTGTTTACTTTAATCCAGACAGAGCAAGGATAGCCTTAGAGGAGGTGCATGAATGCCCCCCCTGAAACACATACTCACACACATGTGGTGTGTTAGCTTTTTTTCAGTCAGTCTGTACTTGATCGTTGAGAGGCGTGAAAGAATGTAGTAAGGCTCTTGAATGCACCACTTGTATATGACAATGAGTTGCTGAGGAAGGAAGGATGCAAGCAAGCAAGCAGGGAATTGTCCTTTGTAATTGCACACAGGATGAAATGTGGACCACTTGGTTGTTCTTTTGCATTCAGGGTGCTCCAATTGCGCATCTGTCAGAAGTACATTGCATTGAGGGTGGGTTGTTTTCCTGCAGTTGCAGCACCATCTATTGGTCAGAGCAGACAAATTCTTGGGACTTTCCGACCTGGCTCAGAGTGGGTTAACCTGCTATAAAGAGTTTTTGTGGAGTCCTTGGTGCTCTCTGAGCTTGGTTGTTTGCTTGCAGACACTTCCTTACTCGATTTTTATTAGTTTTCAGGACAGCACTGAGTTACCCAAAAATGTTTAGTCTGTTAAAGTAGCAGAAAGTAATTTCTACCTACATTTTCTACAAGCAGGTGTGGTCAAGCCTTAAACAACCTGTTATGGATATGGAAAGGCAATTAGATTTGAGAGCCCTAACTGCCTTTCCGTATCCGTAACAGGTTGTTTTTTGAGTAGCCAGTCTCCCTTGTTTAGACCATTAAGATATTTAAACCAAACATCCTCCCTAAATTTAGGAGAAAACCAACTCTAGGACATTTTAATACACTTCCAACTGTCATTTTTGAAAATGCAACCATGTATTATTGCATTGCCCATTTTATAAAAATGCCCAGCATAAAGACCAGCTGTGTGTCAAGGGATCAAGATAACCTTCATTTATTTTTAATCTATGGATGGGTGCAAAAGCTATCCTGGCCACAGCTGCTACCTGCTCTTTGAGCAGGGGCTGAGAGTCTAAGAGGACCTCCCAATTGCATATCAATTCTGTATGGAGAAGTGCTACCCCATCCAGAACTAAAGATAGGAGGACCCCAGGTCCAGGAGATCTGAAACCCATGCCCACTGAGTCTTGCTTGAGTTAAGCCAAGTTAAGGCTGTCCTTCCCCATGCAGATCTCATGGCCTCCAGACGCTGGGAAAAAGCGTTGTCAGCATCTCTTGGCCATCCAAGGATAGAGATGCATATCTGACTATCACCAGCATATTGATACCTGACCCTGTAGTGACAGATGACTTCATCCAATGGCTTCACATAGATGTTAAATAGGAGCGGAGAGAGTAAAGGTCTATCATTAAGAGTCAATACTGACCTGACAGCAAGTAATCAAGCGATCAAAATTTTAAATAAAGACCTACACTGCATCCTTCGCATAATATACAATTCACTGCCTCCCCCTCTCTACCTGAAGCTGCGATAATTGTCCAACACTATATTTTTTTAAATTAAAGCTTCAATGAAATATTTGGTTTGAGAATCAAAAACTCTGGCAAGACTTCTGGGTGAGGAATGGTGAGCAAGCACGTTTCCAAATTAGCAGAGAAAATGTTGTGTCTACGACTGAAGGACCAGTGAGTAGATTGACCTCATGGAGCCCTCTGGATGAGAGGACAGAAGATCACCCACATGTGCTCCAGATGGCTGCTCCTTGCAAGAAGACTGCAGGATACTGATTTCCCACAGATCTGAGCACCAGGAGATGAAGAAAATCCATCAGACTCTCAACTGGGTTGGAGCCTTTTTAAGGACACTGGGTTCTCTAACCTCACTTTCTAATCACATTTGGAAATTACAGTATCTATTTAACTATCTTAAAGCTAATAGAGATCTTCAAAACAAGAAGTTTTCCAGACCACCTGGTCAGTTTACCTTCATTCCAGAATAAAAGAAAAATCAACTATAAGCTTAAGAATGTAAAGAGTTTGAAATAAACAGCAAAAAACTAAATAAGATTTTAATCCAAGGAAGTTATAAACAAGTTAACAGACCAGACAAATTTGGATTATTAGGAGTTTTGCAATAAGATTTTGGAAATAATTATATAAACAAACAGTGCCTTCATGGGAACTGAACTGTTTAATCTACCTTAAGTCATAACAGAAATTCAAGACTTTATGATTTCAGAAATTGGACACTAGAGGGGATTAAAGTTTCCAGGCATAAAAGGAAAAGAAAAAAAGGCTTTTGTCTTTAGTCAGCATTGCGACAAAATGACAGAAAATGGTATGAAGTACCCCAGGAGATATTCGAACAATGGGGACAGAAACTAGTAACTACAATGTCAGCAATAATGTCTGCTTCTATGGATAGACTATGTCCAAAAGATGTTAAAAAAGAAATGACAGATGTGAAAGGGAATACCTTGGAAGATCTACAGGATAAAGACTGAAACAAACTTTATCTGATGCAGAAAAATTACAATACAAAGAAATGGTTGAAATACTCGAAAATAAAAAAAAAATATGGATAAAACAGAGATGACTGTTAAAGTGGGAATAAAATGATAAGAGAATGACCTGGATAATAACTCCTTACTTGATTTACAGATGTTTGCTAAAGCCTCAAAGAAGCCTTTGAGATGGGAAAAACTGAAGAGAGATCAAATCCTATGACAACATTGGAATGTATTAAACATCAAGATTGCTAGAAGCAAAAGAAAGCAATACAAAGCTGGTTTGTTTGACCAAGGTTAAACTAAGACAGGTTTCTATAAGATTCTACGAAGCCTTTATGGACTTTTTGCTGATACCAGGACTGAATTGTTAATGATTTATGGATTTGCGTAGGAATAAGGAATGGGTTATGGGAAGAAGAGATACTTGCATATAACCTTATAGGGGGTGAAGAATTACTAAGTTTGTTTATACTTGTGATGAAGACCAGAAGTAATTTCTTTAAATATTTTTCTCATTTTTTCCTCTTTCTTGCACTTTCTATTCTTTTTTTCTTTTCCTTTCTGTGTTTAGTTTGTATTGTCTTTTATTTTTTTAAAAAACTTTCAATAAAAATTATTTTTAAAAAGAGAATCAAAAACTGGGTCATTAAATATATTATGCAAACTTTAATCCTGATATACATTAGCAACTTTCTCAAATGTCCCAGTAAGTATGGAATTTTAAGGCCATTTCCCTCTTCCTAGAAAGCCTTGTGATCTCCTGTTAAGGCTGGGGTGGTAAGAGACAGGGATGCAGAGAATAGCAAGGGGCCTTCATTTCTTGTGCAGAAGAAATCAAGTCCTGTTCAAAGCAATTTGAACCTTCTCTGAGGCAACTGGGTTGTTGCCAGCAGATGGGAAGATTTCTCTTTCCAATGTGAAAAAAGCAGAGACAAGAATGGACAACCTTAGCTTTCAACAAGGGAGTTTGTTAAGAGCTCTCCAATCAACACTCTTGGGAAGGGATGTTGACTTATGCTATCATCACTTTTTGTTAGTTAGCACTTTTAAGAGTAGAAATGGTTGAAGTTTGGGATAAAAGTTCTGCAGGCTCTGTGTGTGTGTGTGTGTGTGTGTGTGTGTGATTCACTCTTTTACTAAATTTTATTTTCTAAAATCCTTCCTTAGAAATGCAACCTCTTTGCCCTTTCCAATCTTGTTGCTACTCATATCCTTATGGTATTTATTACATTCATTATGAAATTCCTTCTCCTGTGAGGTTTGGCTCAGTTGCATTTGACTTCAGATTCAGCTCTGTGTGTTTCTACCACTCTGACCTGAGTCAGTCTTTCCTTTATATATGTCACAAGGGCCTATTCTGTCTGTCTTAGAGTTTGTGCTGGCCATGTGGAATTTCAGTAGGGCATCAAGGATAAACGAGGCAAAACTCATGCTACTTCCAGTGGTGCTTCTGGGAGGAGAGCCAGAAATGACAACTCTTCCACTTGAAGTTTGGAAAATTCACCCCCACGGAATGGGCTACTCTGCCTACATATCCAAATTGGGACAAAGCAAAGTATTATGAATTTTCATCTTATCCAAATCAAGAATTGGGGGCTTGGAGGACATGTATGTGTGTACATTTCATTAAATCTATCAATTACCAACTTTCCTAAAGGAAATACTTTAGTGGAGATTCATCTGAAACTCTTTTCATCACTGTATTCCAAGTTGCTGTATAGCTCAGTGGCAAAGGCAGCTGTGCTGTTATTTCTTCTTGGAAACCTTCTCCACTAGCATCTTGGGCCAGAATCTGCCTCTAAGCACTCTAGATTACTCTAAGATGAGTAATCAATTGTTTCTTCATCTCTGGATCCCTTGGCACTGCTGAAGACTTCTTTCTTTCAACAGACTTTCTAAATTGGGGACAGAAAGCAATAATAAAGCACACCGTCCCTTCACACATGCCAACTTCCTCTGGGGGGGGGGAGGGCATGGTCAATGATGACATGCATGCCATCATGGTTTGTTATGGATTCCAATGCCCACCAGCACATCTGGAACAAGTTGCTTAAGCAGAATCCATTTACTTCTGATACAAGCCCAAGTTTAAACTCATTCACCAACTTCTTCCATTTAAAACAAGTATCAATCAAGACTTTATTTAAATGATTGAAAGACATTGTCAAATTAAAAACAGGAATGTATTAAATCTACAATATTGAATTATTTTATATATATACTTAACAGATACACCCAGCCTACTTAAGTATTCTACACACTGGATAGTAAAAAAAAAAAAAAAAAAGTCCTATTACTGAAAACCTTGCTACACTCAATGGAGTACATTTTTAAAGTCAGGTGTTGGGTAAAAGTACTGAAACATGTGGTTTACTCTGAGTGCACAGATTGCATAATTAAACAATGCGTGCACATTAATTGCACAATCTTTAAATAATCTAGAATTATGTTTATTAGAATTCAATTCCAGTTTGGAAGGTCCAGCGAAACTCCCAAAATGGATGATTGTCTTACATGTAGGAACACATTCTCAGCATTATTGGAATACAACATAGTATTTCTTCACGTTTCTTTTGCAATTGTCATCTAGTAGTATTGGCCCCTCTTCACAATTGTTCAAATCATTATTACTCCCTTTCATTGTTCAAGGGCAATGGTGTGTCACCATTTACACTGATTGAAAATAAGAGTCACACCTTTGGCAATGTCAGTTAGCCACTGCGAAGCAGCCCTGAGATTCTCTGATGCTTCTCCTTTAAATATCAACTATCAAAGTTCAACACAGCTTCTGTGGTTCAGAAATGATGCCCAGGAGAACCCGACTTATTCACGTTGGAAACAGGTGGAGGTTTACAGTGTTTAGATCCTTCACCGAAGTGAGCCAGTGGTTGTCTTCTTCTATCACATCTGCTGTGTGTGTATGTATGCTGAAAGTCCAGATAGGTTTTTTGGGAATACCTCTTCTCTTCTTATATTGCAAAAGATCCCCACTGCTTATCTGTCTGTGTGTTCAGGGACAGACAAATCAGCCATACATCACCCTCCCCACATAAGTATAGTTCTGAACTAAACAACATTACATCTTAAATAAGAAGAGTGTCTTAAATAAGAATTCAGAAAAAGATAATTTTATCCTTCATTTACATTCACATTCCTGAAAACAGCACGAGAGAATGCTGGTTCCATCACTGCTTTTCCTTTCTTCTTCTTTACTCTTAACAGCACCAGAGAAATGTTGATCACTTTGAACAGATTGCTTATGAAAGATAACAAATGTTACTTAAAAGTCTGTGGCGAGACAGCTGTAAAAAACTCAGATACAAAAGTCTCTGTATTCAAATGTATTCTTCATGTAAACATACTTTTATATAGTGTACAAACATCAGTGGACATTTTAAGAAGAACCTTAGTCATTCTGAACAGACTGTTCAAGTGAAGAAAAAGAAAATAAAATGAAGATGATATCCAGTCAGTCCTGTTTCGTTACGCTTACATGGTACAAGGAAAAAAAATGAAAATGATTTTATGAAACAAGAACAAAACCCACAACTGATAGGTTTTAATGGTTGCTTGGCAGCAAAAACTGATTGCCATTAACCTGGCTTCGCTCTATGACACAAGATTCAGTAATTCTCTTTTTATTCAAAATCAATTGGTTGTGCTGTCCTCAGACAGGACGATTCAGCTGTGCTTTCTTTGAGGAGAATCTGATGTTTCCAGAAGCTGGAACAAAATCCAGAGAAAACAAGACAACATTCAGAGCTCTTCCAGGACTGTCCTGTTATAAGAGAGCAGACATGAAAAATGATGAAATCACTTTCCAATGATGATGGACATGTGAGCGTAACCGGACTGGGGTGCAGAATGTTTAGGATTGAGAATACAGAAGATGACAGAGGCCTCTAAGAGAACTGGTGTCTCTGAGGGGGGCTTTTAATCTTTCCAATACAACAGAATTGTATTGGAATTGAAAAGAAATTATGTCAAGAGGCCTAGGTCCTTGTCCATCTGTCTGTCCATCAGCGTGACATCTCTCTGAAAACTGAGCAGTCAAGCACCAAACTTGACATGGCAGACAAAGCCAATGCAAGAATAAGCAAATTTTGGGGCTGGATCAGTCCGGGGGCTGTGGAGAACATCATCATCATCATCGTCGTCATCGTCATCCCCCAATGCATCCCCAAAAGGGGATGCTGATTCTAAGATGCTGTCCCTTCTTCCTCCATCATGCCCTTCACAGCCTTCCCAGTGCATGCGCATCTGCGCACACACACAAAGTGAAAGTACCCACATACAGATGAAAATGGCCACCAGTATAAAGGGTTGAAAGCCATTCTGGAAATCCTGCTCTGCAAGATTTCCTTCTTTGTTAGCATTTACATGAACCCAGATGTCCACCTTTTAAGGCCATCAAGATTTAAACAGATCAATACACCACAGAACTTACGGTTAATATTTCCAGTCTGAATTACCACTGTTCCACAGAGCTAAGAGGGGGAAAAATCCACAAAAATATAAATCTGTTTGGAGATACTAAATAAATATGGTAAGTCAGGAACAATGCAATATAGAATAATAACTGAAGAGTGAAAAGGGGGCTTTTACTATCCAGTTTTATTCCAATTCCTAGGTTAGGAATGAAAACAAGCAGACACAAAGAGCACATGCATTTGCAATCACAACAGGCACCAGGGAGTCAAGACCTTAGCTTTTCTTTACCAACAAAAGTACAAAGCTCATTATAATCCACTGAGAAGCCAGAGCAAGAACATGCAAGATTGGAAAAGAAGAGGAGGAGAGGTTCATGACTAGGGGAAGAAAGTGAAGATTGTAAAGCTTTGATATGAAGGATTGGGGAAAAGGAATTCAGGGGCTGGTTTCCAACCTGTCTCAGGTACGACAACAACTAAAGTAATACTTCTGACCATGGAGAGATAAAAGGAAAAGAAGCTGGCTGGTTGAAAGAATGCTAACTGATTTTCTTAGCATGTTTTCAACAGATTTTCATGTTAATATCCCTCCAGATAACCCAACAACTTGTCTACTTATTGGTTTCTCAATGTCTGTTAAAAATTTCTAATTTTTAAAATTAGAAATACTAATGAATTGTTAGGGAGCCTGAAGAATTCTGGACAGACCTCCTCAATTTCAGAAATTTGTACCTCACTGCAAAATTGTCCAGTCCTCTCTGTGAAAAGGGGCCGTCTTCTTCTGTTTTCCAACCTTTCCCCCTGTTTCCTTAGCAAATACTGTTGGGGAACCTTGCTTTACTTAAAAAAACTTCCATGCTGAAAGAACTTTGGGACACATGTTATGGATTTGCCCACTTGCAATTCCTTGTTGGTTAGTCATTGTTGCTAGGGCAAACTAGATTCTCTGAAGGCACTTAAAGGTCAAAAAAGTTAATGTTTTCTTAAAGCATAGTCCAAAAGTTTGGAAACTTCATAGTTTCAGTCTATGAAGCACTTTGGATATATTGCCCTTGGACTGTGGCAAGAAACCTGATCAGGTACTCATGGAAGAATGCTGGTATCCTAGACTCTGAATGTTGGATAAAATGAAATCTGTCAACTCTCAGCCTTGGAATCAGCTGGATAATACAATTCTAAATTCAATTCCTTGTTTAAAAATTGCATCATAATATGGAAATAAATGAAGAAATATAATTTTAATACTCTGATATCTACCTATCTATTTATAAGTGGGCTTTTATATGATAGATAGATATACAGTAATTTAGGAATGCATGTGTTTTGCTCTTTTTTATTTCCTAGTTTAGCTTACAGTCTTTTTTTTTAATATTTATTTTTTTCTTTGTTTTCTTCGTTTTTAATATATATAAGAGGTGAGGTTTATTTTTTAAAACTATATATTTTTAAAAATAAAACAGTGGTATAAGTAGACTGCTATTTATATATAATCACAAACTATCATGGCTTTTTTAAAACAGAAATATTAGTTGTAATGTTTTTAAACTTCAAATAAATAAATGTTTTGAAAAAAATTGTTTTAAAATAAGAGCAGTTGCTAAGTCATGAATCCAATTCCACTGTTAAAATTATAATACCTAATATTATTTAGGGCATAATGTAAAAAAAAAAGTAGCCAAGGAAAAGTCATGCAAAAAGGAAAGATGCTGACTTTAAAATGTGCAGAAATGTGCATGAATAATACAAAAAATATTAAAATGTGGGCAGTTTTAAACTTGGTTTACCTTGTCATAACTGGATTGTGTATACCATACAATTGTTCTTTATGATAACCATTATTACCATTTTCCAAACTGTAATAAAATAAATATACGAGGAAAGGAGTGGGTTAATGATAAAATGCAATCGATTCAAATTGTGGTTACGAAGATGGTAATTAAAAAAAGGGCATTTATTTGAAATGTTATCAGTTGCCTTTCCAAAAATTGTTACATATACCAACAACAAATAACACAAACAATAACAGAAGACACCAACACAACTAGTATCCTGCAATATACAAAACAATGCAAATAAACAGACTCTCAGTGGAGCCTGTGAAATATATGGGTTTGTAGAAAAATTCTACAGAATGTTCCATGTTAAGATATTTTGAATGTAAAACTTTGTAGTTATGTATGTAGATCAGTAGGGCAGAGATATAGAGGGGAAAAAATCAATAACCCAAATATGTAATGCTTGAAAATGCCAAAATGAGCTCATAAAAAAAAGCAAAACCACAACCACTCCCACTTTACATGCCATAAGATTAATAAAGCTTTCTTACTTTTTCATGGGCATAGTTTCAACACTACAAAAATAATGAAAAAATAAGAATTATCACTTATGTTACTTCTAGAAGAGAATATTTGGCATAGCAATAGTTCTTTGCTCTTTTAGCAAAGGGGCGATATAAAAGTGGTCTTCATACCAAAGAAACAAATGAGGAAAAAAAATGGGGTGGGGGAGACTGGAAAAGGCACTGGACAAACCTACAGAAAATGGTTCATAAAAGGAAAAGTGGAGACACCTGAAAAATCAGTAAAAACAGCTATCATAAAGTAATGTGCCAAGTCCCTGAGACAGATGAACTGCAAGAGGAAGAAGAGAAATCCTATTATGCAGAGCAGGGCATAAACTAAGAGCTATGGCAAGGAAAATATGTAAACAAGTATCAGGAGTATCTTCAAGGTGCGGCCAAAAAAATCAAGAGGGTAGCCATAACGGGGCAATCAAAGGTCTGGCTGTTTTTTTACCCACGTTGTGGGTGCTCTGGAGAATAAATCCGCATGCTCTTCCATGGGACGTCCCTTCATCTCTTGGAAGGCTACTATCACGTCTCCTCTCACTCTTCTTTGGGCTAATCACACCAAATTCCTTCAACTGCTCTGTGAGGATTTAGCTTCCACGTTTCTGACCATCTTTGTTGCTCTTGAGTACTGTGGCTGCCATCTTGATTGGGCCTGCCATTTTGACTATTTTGGCTGTACCTTGCAGACACTCCTAGCAAATATAGCACGGTTTTGGTTCCACTGGTGATCCTACTGCATTGTGGCTAGTCTTGGAGGTTTCATCCAACCCGCCTCCCTGCAGCTCTTGAAGAGAGGAGAAGAATTGTCCACAGCTCCAATGTGCAGCAGTGGCTTTAGCTGTGCCCTTGCTTACATCAGCCAGAGCTGAAGGGGGAAGGGGACACCTCCAGAATCTGCTACCATCTTTTCCTCCTTTTTTGTTCTGATGCTTATCCTCTACCGCAAGAGGGAGGAAGCTGGGATTTTTAAAAAGGCACATTTTTACAGGTTTTTAAAAAATATACTTGGGGTTTTTTCCCCTTAAAACACCCCAAAACATAGGGCATGTGTTAAAGCCTATGCTTCCTGCAGCTCTTAGGAGCCTAGTTTTTCTTACCTGCACCCAAATCTAACAGCACTGCCCATCCCATTCTTTCATCCAATTTTAGAGGACAGTTTAAGTAATTCCAAGCAAAACTTGTCCCATCAAGTTTTTACAACATCACATAAAGACTACCCGTGAACTAGTCTTTATCTCAGTGAAGCTGGAAAAATGCTTCAGCTTCCTCTGCTTATTTATATATCCATTCGATTTCTATAGCCATCCCATCTTGCCAGCTGCTACTCTCACTCATCCTACTCTTACTTACTCATCGTACACGTCCTCTGTATCCATCCTGCGGTAAAATTTGGCTAGTTTCACCGCACAAATAATAGCAGGGATCAGCAAGACAGAGCAGCCTCCTAAACCGAACCAGAAGGCATTCTAGGCAGAAAGGAAACAGAACATTTGAATGTGTGTCTGATCCAAGGTGCTCGGAACGATTATTCTTCATCCTTTCTGTAGGTTTCATCACAGTGACCCTTCCAGCCCAAAGCTATCCATCCTTTCTCACTTGGATAAAATGCCAAACTAGAGTCACTTGAGTGCATGTATTCTAGCCATAAACAAGCAGAACCTCCATTTGAAGAAGATTGATGAAAATGTGGTTTTCAAGGGATCCAGACGTTCAAGTGTGATTTGCTAAATAGCATTAGAAGAGAATATGCGTAGCTCAGGGTTAAACTGTGGAATCCTTGGGGTTCTCTGAGCTTGGTTGTTTTCTTGCAAATGTTTCATTCAGGCATTCAGTGCTGGAATGGAGTGGAGTTTGCTCTCTGTTTATGTACAGTGGCTTGCCCTGCCTGTGTTGGTGGTCCCCCCACCCCAGTAGTATCAGAGGAAAAAAAAAACACCAACACAGGCAGGGCAAACCCCTTTACATAAACAAAGAGCAACCACCACTCCATTCCAGCACTG